CACCCCTGCCCTCCCAGCCTGCCATCCCAAATCCATCTCTCCGGGTAAGGACTTCTGTTTCTGAGTCCTGGCCACGCTTTTGGGGAAGTCCTTCCTGCGGCCTAAGCACTAACCCTCGGGCTTTGGTCAGTGCACTCTCTCCCAAGCGTCCCTGCCCTCTTCCTTCGCCAGGCTTTAATGAAATGCTGGCCACACTGCATAGAAAACTGGCCAAATTAGTGGCCGCTCCCCAGACCGCTGCTGGGGCAGGAGCATGTGGTCAGTACAGAATATTAGCATAGTGAATTGAAGTTTAATTATCCAAGCCTTCCCAGCGGGCGCCTCTCCCTGGCTCTCAGAAGTCCTGACTCCCCGCCCCATTTCCCTGGGTGAGGTGAAAACCACACGCAGAGGGATGAAGGGGAGGGGAGGGGCCAGAGGTGGTGGACCCTACAGGGAGTGCGACTTAGGGTCCTGGCTGCCTGACGCCCCACAGCTTGTTGTTCTGCTTATTTATGCATTTATTACTTGTATGTACCCTGACTGGGGATCAAACTCACAATACGGTGTATCTGAGGACACTCTCACCGACTAAACGCGGAGGGATGAAGGTGAGGGGAGAGGCCAGAGGTGGTGGACCCTACAGGGAGTGCGACTTAGGGTCCAGACTAAGAGGGTAACCCTCTCAGCCTGCCTTCTGCTGCCTTCAGTCAGGAGGATTTTGCTCCCGTCCCGCCCCGCCCCTCTGGTCCCCGCCCTAGCCCCGCCCCATCCCGGTTGGCCCCGCCCCGCCCAGGTTGGCCCCGCCCCCGGTTGGCCCCGCCCCTACCCCGATTGGCCCCGCCCCGGCTGGCCCCGCCCCTGTCCCGGAGGGGACTCACGACTCCTTGTAGTACACGATGAAACTGAGTAGGTCTCGGGCCTCCAGCGGCTCGTAGCGCTCCCAGCGCAGTAAGATGCGGTCGGTCTCGGTCACGTTGGACACGAAGCGCAGGGTGCGAGTCTGGCCTGGGCGGGGCGAGTGGCGAACACCTGCTCTCAACCGCCTGCTTCCAAGCCCCGACCTGGACCCCGCGGCATCCCACCCCCAACGCAGCCTCTGAGGACAAGTTATCGCCCGGTCCGCTCCAAGCGCCCCTTCCCACCCCGCTGCACGGCCGTGTGCTCGCTCCCCCTCGGGGTTGGGGTCGGGGTTGGGGTCGGGGTTGGGGCCTCACAGGCGGCGCGGTCTCCGTTGGTCCGGGGGTTGATCTCCGCCTTGTTTTGCCGCCCCCGCGTGCCGGTCACCTGCTCCAAGTGGTAAATGTGCTCCAAGCAGAGGCGTGGGTTGAAAGCGAAGTAGATCTTGCCCACGGGAATGGTGAGCCCCGCCGCCACCCAGGACCCCAGTTGCTGCAGGTTCTGGTTGTCCAGCACGTACAGAGTGTAGTTCCTGGGGGCCGGAGGGGACCTTGTTCCAAACGGGAGGTGGGGGCGGGGGTGGGAGGAGGTGCCCTATGGGCTCCTCTTGGGAGTGTAGGGAAGGTGGGATAGAGGGGTCTGGTCAGAAGCTTACCCATCCACCATGGCATCTCCCCGGATTAGTTTGAGGTTCTTGAAAAAGCCCAGGGACACGAGGGCGAAGGAGTGCTTGATTTTGAGGAAGCCAGTGATGGTCTCCACCAGCCCCAGGCTGTGCTGCAGCTCCTGCTCCAGGTTGTCTGGGGAGAGGGAGGACAGGGCTGGAGCAGGGGCAGGGACAGTGGTGGGTCCCACAGGGCAGGGGGCTCAGTGGGATGCAGGGAAGGGGGGTCCTCAGCCCGGGACCCAGGGTAATGGGAAGTGGTGCTTTAGCTGGGCCTCTGTAAGGGGCGTGGCAGGGAGGAAGGGCGGGGCCCGGAGAGAGGGATGGCCCAGAGGGAGGTACTGACAGCCCTGGCGAAGATTGAGGATGAGACTCCCCTCCACGTGGGTGCAGCCCACCAGGTCTTGTGCCACCTGGACGGAGTCGATAGTCTTGGTGCCCACCTTGCACTCTTTGGGGCACAGCCCCTCACACTTGTGGCAGAAGATGCTGGCAGGGGCAAGCAGAGGGTGTGGCATGAGCCCTGGACCAGGGTGGACCTTCTTGATACTCCCAGGGTGACCCCCACCCGCCCTCCACTCACCTGCTGCCATTACGGGTGAAGCCCGGAGGGCACTGGGCCAGGCAGCTGCCCTGGTGGATGCCAAAGGTGGAGGGGAGGCTGGGCACAGAGCGCAGGCTGGCACAGAGCTCGGCTGTGACACAGCGCCACGACTCGTGCTGGTAGGTGCCTGGAGGGCAGGCCTGGTGGCAGGCGCCCTGGAAGTAGAAGTGGCGGCAGGCAACGCAGGCACTGGGGTCGTCCGGCTGGCTGCAGCCCCCCAAGCATTCGATGTGGCAGCACTCACCCCCTGCTGTGCAGGCCAGTCCATGGGGACAGGGGCACACTGTGGGCAGAGTGCTGTGTGAGACTGCATCCAGCCTCCTCGGTCCTGGCCCCAACCCCTCCCTCTGGGTAACCCTCTTAGTCTGAACCCAGTCCACTCCCATTCAGATAACACTGGCTGCTGGCTTCCTCAGGCAGGGCTGCTGAGGACAAGGACCGTGGCTCCCCTCTGTGGCTCCCCACCTCCCACAGTGCCTAGTCAGGGGTGTCAGAACTCAGCACAGACCAGTGACCTTGTCCATCAGGGCTGCTGCTCCCCCGCCTGCTGTCCTGTCTAGGCCTGGTGCCCAGATCATCGCTGGGCACGGCGCCAGGGGGAAACAGCCAGCTTCTCCTGAGCAGCTTGGCCCAGGGCAAGGTGGGCCTGGGAGTGTGTGGAAGAAGGGGCCGCCACTGGTCATTTCCCCCAGGCCCCTGTCCAGACCTCCTCCCTCTTCAGCTCTCTGCCCTGGGTGGGAGGCAGCCCCAAGCAAAAGTGGGTGGTTTGGGGGCTGGGGAAGCGGCGGCCTGGGAATCTGCACAGGGGCAGCTGCATGTCTGCGGGAGCGTGCATGTGGCGGGGGTCAGCCAGGGCGTGTTGACACTGTACACGCGAGAGGCCACGAGAGAGGACGCGCAGCAGCTGTGTTTACAGCCAACAGGGAGGCTGCAGGGAGGTGGGGCTGAGAGGATACAGTCGGGATCTGGTTACTCTTCTGCCCTGAGGCTGAGGGTGAGGGAAGCTGATCTCCAGAAACTGTTGGAAAGAGCCCCGGTTTGGGGGACCCCCGCTCTGCTCCCAGACTCTGAAAGGTCTGCCTCCCCTCCCCTAGAACTTTCAACTCCTCCTCCCCCCCACCCCCTCCTTATCCTACTCCCCCCTTTCTCACCTCCCTTCCTTTTGTTTCCTCTCCGTGCACTTTACTTCCTAAAGAAGTTCCCACCTCACGTACTTGTCCTCATCTGTCCTGTCCTTCATCTGCCGCCTCCTCCTTTCTCTACCCAGCTCCCAACCTCCCTCGTACAACACTGTCAGCTCACCTTGGGCACCTGTGCTGTGGTCTCTTTTCTCAGGACCAGAACTGCTACCACAGCCTAG